GTTGTTTTCTTGAAGTATTGTTGTCTCTGAATGATTTACAAAGCGAGTTCTTCAGCGATCACTAAACATACTCAGTGTATTGATCGTTGGAACTGAAAATACAGAAACTAAAATACATCAAAAGGAAAAAGGGATTATCATCAAATCACTGAGAGAGAGGATCAAAAGTTACTGTGAAAGGTGCAATTCAAAGTTTTTTCAATAAGAGATTGACTAAGACTGTATTTGTATGGACTGGATATTGCACAAATTTGGCCTATCTGTTGTGGTGTTGTGTAGTTGTCATGATGCATAGACTGGTTACTGTTTATACTGCTCAATTTGTGCATTGAATGGATAATGCAATGTGATTATGGAAGCAAATTTAGGATTCAATTCATGCTTGGGGAGTACATTCAAATTTGTGGCAATTTTGGAAAATGGTTCTACAAACAATTTATGCAGCCACCATCTACCCTATGCTACTACAAATAGACCTTTAAATTGTTTTCGAAAACCAATTTGGGAGTATGAGATACATAGAAGACTGTTGTTTTCAACATGAATCTATATGGACTCGACTAGGGGAATTTTGGTCTGGACCAATTCGTTCTTTAATTCCAATCGAGTTAGTATTGGATTGTGATGCATATCAAGTTCTAATTTTGAATTGGTTTTCAAGATTGGTTTGGGACAATTAAAGATGTTGGCCTATTTGATTGATGATGGTTGCATGTTCGATTGGTGCCCTAATCCCAATCGATGGTGTGTGCGGTTTCTTTCAATGGGGGATCCGATATTGGATATCCTGGATCGATTTCATATTTGTTGATGAAGTTTGTTGATTGTTCCTCGATCACTTGCTTGTTGATGATGCATGTCGATTGCTTCTCCTCTTCAATTGATCTCCTGTTAGTTTTGGGTTTTACACTGGTTATGATACTGGTTGCTTCTAATTGATGTTTGGGCTGGAAGGATTGTGTCGCCTCTTTTGTTGGGCTGCTTCCTACGCTACGATTTAGATTACTTATTTGATTTTGGGCTGATAGTTTTCTTTGGAATCATGATGATGTGGGCGATGGATTTGTTGATTGGACTAATCACATGGGCTATCATGATTTACTATGGGATGTACTCCGATTTGGTTTTTGGGCCATATCTTTTTTTATCTCATGGTTGGGCTTGGACCCTTGTATGGAATTTTTTTTGTGCTTTTGATCCTCTTGTTTGGATCTTGGTTTTTTTTGGTGTCTTTTGTGTTGTAAAATGGGTATGCCAATTTAATTTTTGTAATATTCTATTTTAGTCAATAAATTTTT